TATTCTTTGTTTGATATTGTATAATATTAAAAGAAAGCAAAGTAGTATTAGACTCAGTTGGGCCATTATGTTGTTACAGATATATATGACATTTAAGGTGATACCTTGATCTTGTGAAGACCTGTCCTCATATGCCTTTTCATTATATTAAGGTTGTAATTGCATATGGGCAGTCTTAGGTTTTTGTAAGAAATAGATCTATATTAGTGATGAATAAATAGATGTGTGGAAAACAAATGAAACGTTCTCAAATCAAACACAATCTTTGAATGTTAATAGATTGTTTCCCAGGAATAAGTAGGCTTAGGTTAGAAGTTTTAAAAAATGGGATCAATGCCTTAATATCTCATGACCTTTCGGCATGTGAAAGACTGTAGTTTTCAAAAGACAGGATGCTCAGCAGTTTGTTTAAGTCAAGACTTCTTAAAATAACTTCAGTCATACTCCTCTTCCCTCCACCCAAATCAGACTGATTGTTACTAGCATATAAGGGAGATTTAGTTTTATGAAATACCTTATTTTTTTACCTGTTTAGCCTTCAGTGTCTTTCTAAATTGCAAACATTGTGTCAAGAGGCTAACAGAATTGTAGTGATTCCAGTAAAATTTGACCTTTATTACCCAAAGGAATGGGAGACCTTATCCCCCTAACCATGAGATGTTTTCCAAATGTTTGCCATCTCTACCTATCTTAGTAAATGGCAGTGACCCTGCTGCTATTTCTGCTTTTCTTAAATGCAACAGAATAAATTTAGATCTAAGATACTTTTTTTTTTAAATGGGAATTGTGAGTAAATATGTACACTGCCTGTTGTCTCTGAACTTCCTTGCTAATTAGCAGGGACAATAAGACATTGTCCTGTTTTTTGGACATGTCCACTCATAATTCATGCAACTAATAGAACAAAGATGCTAATAAAGATGGTGCTGCTAGAGTTGTCTGTGTTGACCTGCTGTTTGTTCTCTGTCACCTCCTGGCCCTGCTCCCTCACCCTGGGCTGTCACAGCTGCCTGTGGGCCCCTGGCAAGGGGCTGTGGTGCGGGTCTGCTGCAGCTGGCTGCTCACAGTCCAGGTTCAGCAGCAGTTTTTAGCCTTGTGCTCTGCTTTATGCACTCCTGGTTGAACTCGTTAACTGCTGGTATAGCCAAAAGGTGAGACCTTCATGTGTGAAATAATTCAATCTTTTCTTTTGATATAAGTACGTAGCATATTGTAGTCATTTGAAGAAATGCTCAGGAAACCTAGTGAACATTCAGGGCTCTCAGGGGCAGCAGTTCTATTTGAGAGTTGGCAAGAGGAGGCTTCTGAACTGGTCTCTGGTGCTGAGTTCCTCAGCACTCCACTGCCTCACAGAACCAGGGAGCACCAACAGCACGAAAGTGGACAGATGTGACAGAGCCCACAGGTGGTGTGAGCCTAACAGCCAGGACAGTCCGGGTGTACTCGGTGCGGGAGCCTGAGAGCACCAAAGTGAGCTCTTTGTAAAAGGTGTTTGTCATTATCTGGTATAACAGAGGATCCATCTGCCATTTCTACAAAGTCAAGAATTTTAATCTCCCTTTTTCATTTTCTTAGGAATGCTGTGTATTTGCAGTTTGGGGTGCTTATGTGCATAACCATTTGAATCAAACTGTTAGTACCTTCTTACGCAACTGAAGTACCCATATAAAAAGATTCTGACATATTCAATGTGTGCTAATGGTATTCAAATTATAACTCAGCTATAAGCAAATGTATTTGCTTCTGTTTTGTGATGTGTTGGATTTTTTTTCCTACAAAAGAAGCTACCTTATTAATTCAAATAAAGTGTTAGGCTACACCTTCATTGCCCACTTCAGTCAGGCAAAAAAAAGTTAGGTGTGTTCCCAAGGAACAGCATACTTTGAAGAATACAATGGATTACTTTTAACACTTGTTCTTCGTTGAAGTTTACATTTGCTTGAAATCCATATTGCTGCCTTCTTAGTTGGGCAGGATACCTGTGTATGAGGATGATAATTCATTGCTTCTATTTGATGGAAGTAGGCTTTTTTTAATGTGCAGATTTGTATTTTATATTTTAATTTGTGTTTGTAGTATTTTAATTCAATTATTTTAAAGAACGTCATTACAGGATCTAATTTTTTTTAACAAAGCTGTATCATTTATATTTCTGAAATACTCTCCCTAAATATATACATAATGATATCTAAAGGAAAGACATCTATCATAAATACCAACTAAATATGCTGCAAACACTAAAAGCAGTAGGGGTGATGATGGAGCCTGCGTGGTAAAGCCTGTGGTTCTAGCTGGAACACTGCTGGACTTGCTAAGCCTCTCTCAGTGCAGAAAAGTGCTGTTAGGATAGCTGTAGGGACAACTGGTCATACCAGGAGGAGGTGGACAGGTTAGCAAAGAGCAAATCTGGGCCAAGGGGGTAATTTACAAAAGAGTGTCTTGTTGTCCTATTGGCTTAAACGTTGTGTCTTAAAAATTACACAGCTTAAAAAATGCTCAAGTCTTCTTCACCTATTTTAGAAAGCAGACCTATATCTGCAGAAAACATACACTGTAGTCAGCTTGGCGTTCTCTTTCAATTGAAAGCAGAGTAGGAGCAGGGAGTAGATGAACTGCCAAATAAAGATAATAAACAGTAATTTGCCTATTTTGAGTTCTTTACAGCAAGTGTTTCTGATATTTATCTAGATATCCAGTCTTGATGAACATTTTGGGGATTCAGATTGGGTATGGAGGGGAATTCTTGCATTTTGGAAAGACAAACACACTTGCATGAGTCATAATTCTTAGTAAGTATAATAAAGGTCCTGGAGAAAAATAGTGTAAGACACATAGTGGTATAAAAAAATTGGGTTTAGCAGAATCTGGCATTAAGGTAAAAGAAATTAGTATTTGTTCCCTAAAAGGTTGTTTAAATTGAAACCAAGTGAATGCATTTAATTTGTTTCACATGGGAACAATTGCAAAGCAGTACAAGTGCATTGAATCTGCTAAAACCAGAAGTCTCTCTTATCTTTCTGGAAAACATTTCCATTTTAAAGTTACGTCTGTTCAGTTCCCTTCATGACAATAATTTTGAACTTAACTATCCATTTAGCAAAGGAGAGGGCAAGCCAGCATTGAAGGATTCAAAATTATATATTCTGGCCTCATGAAAATTTCATGGTTAAAATAAATAAATAAAAGCTTTCCAGAGTGAAATGCTGTGGTTATCTAAGAGGTCATATCTCTCCCTCACTCACTATCCTCATAATAAACAGCTATTAATTAAACTGAGGAGCCACTTGGTCTTTAGCTCTACAGGTGGGAGGGGGTTTATGGCCAGGTTTTATGCTTGCCCTTTCTTTCCCCTCCCCACCTCTTTTTCTTTTTTCTTTTTTGTGTTTTGTTGTGGGTTGTTGGTTTTTTTCTTTTTAATCCATACATCATCAGATCTATTTGTGTTTAATTTAAGGCCTTTTTGCATGTTGTGGGGCTTTTTCTGTAGGCAACCATTGTTCACTAGAGATTGAGCATAAGAAATGGAGACATATATGGAATATTTTGACACAGGATAATTTTAGAGCCATGATACCAGGCCTGGCAGATTAATACTTTGTTTCACTAAATTTTCTTCCTCTTCAACAGCACTTCACCCAGTTAAGAGTTTGTGCCATTGTAATATATTCAAGAAATAAATAGCAAGCTATTGATCAAAGAACTCCTGGTAGAGATAAATCCAGCTTTAAACCTACATAAACCGGCTACTTGAATTTAGCTTGGCTATTTATACTGTCCCATCGTGCTGTATTTAGAGCTGAGGGTTTGGTGACAGGAGTTGAAAGTTTGTGATCTGCTTTAGCTTGGAGGATGAGATGCGCTAAATGAAACATTAAAGAGTTCTTCTGTGCTTTGTTCTGTCCTAATGCAAGTTGTCAGGGGCTTTTTGTTGTCTGCGTTTTTTTGCTGGAAAAAGCATAAATTTATTTTATCATAAACTCAGTCATTTGTGAATACTTTAAACTAGAGCAAATTTTTTCTGCAGTTAGGTTAAAAATAGCATGTCCTAGGGACAGAGGAGGCAGCTGTGTTAAAGTATCTGCCTATTGATACATTTTCAGGATTTCTATTAATGATACAAAGTCAGTTGAAATGACATCCATTACATATTTGTCCAAACAAGTGGAAAAGAAAAATAAACAATGTGGTGCTAGAGAATCCATTAGAATTGTGTATCTCTGCCTGTCTTTCCTAATCAGAGGAACTGATATCTATAGTCTACCCAAAGTTACTTCTGTAATACATATACATCACACTGAAAAGCAGTAAGACAGTGAGGTTTGCTTAGTGTATATTCTTACACATCTGTACTGTTTTGTGGTTCATATGTATGCAGATAAAATTTGCATCTCCTTCAGAGCCTTTGCATACCCTGAAGAATGCATAATGGTTTTTAAAACAATACTTTCTCCACAAAAATGAGCAAAACTAGACTTCTACTAAGTAGATAACTTCATTTATTTAAGGGCCGTAAATATTCTTGCAATAATGTAAACAAATTTTCCCAAAGGAGAAGATAACTGTAAATAAAGTGGGTGACATGAAAGTCTTTATTAATGCTTTATTAATGCTGTTAGATTCAGCAAATGTTACTCTGCTATGCCATAGGTAACAATTTTTCCTCCATAGATTTTTGCTTATGATTACTGTCAGCGTACAACTGGAGCCAGGACTGTATATTAAGCTACTAGAAATTAATATAGCATGTGGTAATCCTCTTAGCACTTTTGTCCACTTATGTCTTTTGTTAACCTTTGTTTTACGCGCATCTTATCAATATTTTTCAGGACAGGTCCATTAAAACAAATTATAAGTGGCTAATACAAAATACTGTATTTTACCATTAAATGTTTCTAATATTTTAATAATTATTAGTATCTAGGTGTTCTATTTAAAACATCTGTACTGAGTGGAAGGATCTTCAATTTTATTAATTTTTGTAAACTGTTTGTCTCTCTTAGTTTTGGATATGGCCCGACACGTTCCCCTCTACCGAGCTCTGCTAGAATTACTCCGGGCTATTGCATCCTGCACATCAATGGTACCATTACTTCTTCCTCTGTCAGGAGAAAGTAGTGAAGAGGAGGAAGAACAGTGTGAGTCACAAGCTTCTGTTGGGACTTTGTTGGCTAAAATGAAGACCTGTGTAGATACCTATACCAACCGACTGAGGTAATCACTTTTATTAGCCCTAACCTTCATTTAAACTGTATTGTGTTGTTGTGGTTAAGGAACAGTACTCCTCAATTTAGTGCTCCCACTGAGACTCTCCAAATCACACTGCCCCTCTCTCACTCCTCCCCCTCCCCCTTCCTCTCCCTCTGTGGCAGGCTGGAGAGGAGAATTGGAGGCACCAAAGCTAAAGATTATGGGTTGAAATAAGAACAATTTACTGGAAACAGCAATGAGATAAGAAAATTAACAATAACAGCAACAATATTAATAACAAAACTATACAAATGAGAGAGTGATTCACATGCAAAAATGACCCGACTACAGAGCCTGACCTGACTACAGCCGCACCACCCCAACCGCTCCCGCCAGCTCACTGATGCCACCCGACCTCTCTCCCTCTCGCTTGCAACTGGCACCACCCCACTGCTCCCTCCACCATGCTTACTCAACTGGAAGGAACCCCTTCCCCCCACCCCTGGCAATGACGTGAGGTGTTATAGAATAATCTCCGGGTCCTGGCCATGCTTCCTCCTGGCTACTGCAAAAATAATCCCTGTCCTAACCAGAACCAGGACATGTGTTCTTACATGTTATGAGTATGGAAGTGAAAGAAGATTCAGTTCTGTATATGTTTCTGAATGGATGCTGCAGTCCAGAGTGAAAACATACCTTATATTTGTTCTAGATCTGTATTTATATCTATCTATCTGTCTGTATTACTGTACTATTTACAAGGAATGTTTTTGGTATGACACATAGAAGCTGGTAGGTTTGCATAGTCTTGTCACTTCATTGGTAACTGCAAATGCTGCAAACAAATTTTCGTTTCTTTATTTTAATAATTTTCTGCGTCCAGCAATTAATTGGCTTCTTGATTCCATTTACTTGCTTCCAATTTAAACACAGCTTGTTAAGAAATAATAACCTATCCTTCTCTGCAAAATTTAGTGCTATCCCTAAGCATATGCTGAAACATCCTGAAAAGAAGGTAAATATAATGTCAGGAAAAGGTGTGTGTAGAATGTTCTTTCTCCCACTTTAAACTTGGAGTATTTACCAACCATTACCCAAAAGACTTGCTGAGAAGGAGTCTAATTAATGGAAACTCTTTCTAGTAACTGCTGATGAACTGGACTTTACCCAGAAATTTCTCTAATCCTTGACTGAGATTGCTAGTCTTGCATATCAAGCATGTAATGTACCTGTAATGGGATTTTTTTTTGCTGAATTAGTGTAAAAGAAACAGAACTAGGAAGGACAAAAAACAGTTCTTTATGTTGGATACCCATCTAAAAAAGTCAGCTTGTGCTTGCTGGTAATACTATGCATATCATAGTATATTGTAATCTTCTTAAAATAAAAAAGAAAATATATTTGGCTTCTATGGAATCCATTTCCAATATATATGTATGTAATTATCCACCAGAATCACTGATTGGGGGCTTTTTTTTTTTTTTGCTGATCTGGTCATCCATTAGCTTCAGATTTAATGGCCATGGATACCTGTATCTTCTCATGTCACTTCCCCAGGCTGAATTCTAAAAAGAGAGAATGGCACATGACTACTACTCATAACCTCTTTTTAATTTGGTAAAATAAACATGATATGGCTAGTTAGTTCTTCAGTGCCAACTTAGGATCTGTAAACAAAGAAGAATTCTAGGATCGCAATCAGTATTATTTTAGCATCAGGTGAATTTGATAAGAATTCCCTGGTTGGTTCAGTTACAATGTCTGTACAATTTTCTTGTATTACTTTGATATGTCAACAGAAAAGGAAAGCTTGTCTTTCACTGGTTGGTTTAAGCATAATGCTGTTTATCTTTTAAGCAGTTCATAGACAAAGATGAAAACACCGACAGCCTGAACAGCCTGGAATCATTGGGGTAGAAGGTTTGAGTTCTCAGCATTTTAGTTGAAGGCGTGCCAGAAATATAAGCAAGTGTTGGCATGAATTTCTTAAATGGACAATCTGCTGTTCCTTTTAAGTCAAATTGCCAGAACAACAACATAATTATGGGTTCTAGTTTCAAAGGCAAAACTTCCTATCATCTGAGCAGCAGACTTGCACATCTACCAAATGTCATCTCCATGTTGGAGCAGGTGTGTCCAGAATTTAAGTGGAGCAGTTTTAGCTTTGGACTCCAGTTAACATTGAATTTCCTTTACTTTCAAATATTCTGTTAGAAAATTGGGAAGTTTCTGGATAATGGAGAAGACATTTAGGTATGAGATAATTTCTCATGACTGTTTGACTGCTACGGAGTTAAAAGCCATCACTCATTGGAGTGCAGTCAGGCTGATGTTGCCACGAGGGCTGAGTTCAAGCCAGGAGTTTGCTGTGGTGGCTGAGCCCTCTGCTGCAGAGGTGGTGACGTGTAGCAAAGCAGGCTCTTCAGAACCACTGTCTACTGGATGAGCTTTGTGGCAAATGGTTAATTTTGGCAAAATAAGCCAATTACTTATTTGTGTGATGTGTAGTCTAGCAAACCAGTGTCTAAAATTGCTAACTATGCTGCATGGGGATGCTAGATACAACCAGGTAAGCCTGAAGCATTTTTCCTCCAATGGCTTTTCATTGTCTTCACTGCTATTTTGCAGAACTTTGATGTGAAAAGGTGTATTTTGCCAACAAAATGTTTTCTTTATAATTGGGCCCCAAGAATCAAGGCCTAATTTCTTTTAATTGATTTTTCTTTAAAAGACAGAACAACTGTCGGTTCCTTTTGCTGTACTCTCAGGCTCATGTTTGGAGCTGATGGTTGTCTGCAGGGAGCAGTCTTGCAGCCTCTGCTGGTTTGGAATGCTTCAGCTTAGTGTGTGTAAGTAGTGCTTGAAGCCTCCAAGAGGAGTATGTGGAGCCATCTCAGAGGAGGTTACCAGTGTTTACCAGTGGTCATGTGCAAAGGGGGATGGTCCCTTGCTTGTTTTGCCTGATTTCAGGAGATTTGTTTAAGAATCTGTGAATTGCTGGAAGGCACAAACGTGGGGAGACCATGAGGGCTGAATGATAGTGTGGTTGCAAACCTATGGTAGTTTTACCCCAAGAAACTGAGTCTCAATCTAAGACTGAGCAACATTGTGCTGTAAGCACTGTCCCTGTGGTACACAGGGGCTGAATGGTTCATTTGCTTTACTCTGTGAATGCTTTGATAAGGGTATCATTCTGTATCATCACATTTACCTCTAAGTATCAGGCACAGGTGAGTAAGTATTAGTATTGACTTTGAAAATTAAAGTTGCCTTGGGAGTGTATCATTCATTATTCATTTAGCACAGCATGAAGAGAAGGCTGTCATCTTCTAGTACAAGCTAAATTAATGGCTTAAATTATTAGCATGTACACTGCTGTCTCTTCTAGCAAATATGTTAGTGACTGTCATCCCTATAAATATGAGTTGACATTTTCTCTGCTTTTTCTTCAATGATTGAAAAATTGTATGAGGAAGTTTCTGTGTCTAAATTAAATGTTTGGCTCCTCCTCCACACTGAAAATCATAACATTTAAATAAAGGTTTGTCCTACATTAAAGCTCAGGAGTTTGATAAAACTGTTAGCTATCTGCATACATAAATTTACATGCAGGCTGATAGAGTGCAAGGAAAGAGCTGAAAGATCTTACTGGGTTTATCACTTTAATTTTGGTATTTCATCTCCTCCTTGATACAGTTGTGGGAGAGCTCTATAATTTGCAACAACTCCCTCTCTTGAACTGGGGCTCTACTTGTGCCTCTGAAGCACTCGTGTATGACACACAGAGTAGCTTCACACCTCCATCTTCAGGTCCACAGCTGTTTCACATGGGATTTTAATCTTATAGTGCACCTGTTCTTTATTTTCTTTTAAAATGCGTTTATTTAATAATCATTATAAACCATGTTTTAAGGATATGCTTTTAGAAAGGGGGTTTTGTGGTCTTCTCATGTAAAAGAAATATAAAATTAAGTGTAATAGCTCATGTCTGCAATGAAGTTCAGTTCTGTCTCAGGTGGCAAAACTGTGTGAACTTTAAAAAATTATAGTCAGTGTGAAAGTACATACTGCTGGGGATCCTTTGACAGGTTTTCCCATCTAGAGTCTAGGGAATTATTTGATTTACCATTATGTGATTGTAAATAAACTGAGAAACTGTAAAGTACTGTTACATTTCTCCAACTATTTGTGTATAACACTAAAGCTGTAGAGAATAAGATAATGAGGCAGATGCCTACAGGAGAGCTTTTTTCAAGAGCATGTAGTGACACGATGAGGGGGAATGGCTTTTAACTGAAAAAGAGTAGGTTTAGATTAAATAGTAGAAAAAAAAATCTTTGCTGTGAGGGTGGTGAGGCACTGGAACAGGTTGCCCAGAGAAGTTGTGGATGCCCTATCCCTGGAAGTGTTTAAGGCCAGGCTGGATGGAGCTTTGAGCAACCTGATCTAGTGGGAGATGTCCTGTCCATGGCAGGGAGGTTGGAACTAGGTGATCTTTAAGGTCCCTTCCAACCCAGACCCTTCTATGGGCCTATGATACTATAATCTTACGGACTGTACGGGATCGATTGCACTAAGTTGGTATTCTTATAGCAAAAGGTTTGGGTCAAATAAAGGTAGGAAAACAAAATGAGGGAATAAAAATGGAAGTCATCACTAACAGGAGTCTTGCAAGTTATGGCAATATCATTTGGGTTTTTCCCCAAAAGTGGGGGAAAAAAGTTATCTTCACCCTAACTAACCATTAGACTATACAAGGAAGACTTGTGTGAGAAAACCAAATGTTGATGCGGTATGTCTGATCTTGGGATTTGTGTGATACCAGCTACCTTATACTCCCTAAGAAACTGATTGAAATCCCTCATTAGGAAGGATCAAGGTAAAAAATGAGATCAGGATGGGGCAGGGGTGAGGTGAGAATGTGTCTGAATTAGATTTATTCCTGCATTTTGCTTCCTAAACTGTTCTTCCACAGTTATGGCCTGACTCAGAAGTTAGGCAGCTTGGTAATGTAGATCATCAGATAAGCCCCAGATAACTACAGGTGTCAGGGTAGAGCTGTTCTGCAAACACTTGATTTAAAGGTATATCCTGAGGAAAAGGGGGAGGTTTGTCTGTTGTGCTCATGGTTACAGTGGACAGCATTGGGTGGCAAAGGAGGTGTTAGGAGAATACATTCTCTTTTGATAGTTCAGAAATGCTGAAATGTAACTGTTCTGTACAGCAGGGAGAACGAGAGGAAATTATACTTACTATTGGTACTGAAAGTTTGTGTTTGATTAGATGTCTCCTTTTCCTGCTGCTTCAACTGGATATATATTCTTTGTCTGCTGAGGTAGTTGCTGTCAGTAACTTACTACATCTGTAGGAATTGTTAAGCTTTTTGTTTAGTGGGGCAAACACCTTAATTTTTTTGATTCTGAGACAAAGTAGAAGGAAAAACAAAAAACCAAGTAGTCTAAATTGTGAAACCATGTGGAAGATGAAAGACCTACAAGATAACTGTCTTGAAAATGTATTTGTAAGAATTCATTTCTCTTTCAGTACCTTCACTAAGCACATTTATATGGCTTTTCACACATCTTTCTCTTGGATAAAGCCCACTGACATTTCACTTCAGCCAGAATTTCTCCAAGGGTTTTGTAGCAAATAGCTTAAGGCTTCTACATCAATAGCAGGCAGATCTAAATCTGTAAACCTTCCTTGGGACTGGTAGCTGCTAGTATGTCAGTGGCATTAAAACAGGTTGTCACTGAGGTTTAGTGGCTTTAAATAGACATTTCTGAATGTGCCTAGTAGGTTATTTAAAAATGTTGGCCTAGCTTTCCACAAGTAAAAATGCAACAACGAGGATTTTGGACAGTATGAATGGGAGAGGCAGCTGCTGCTTCTTTGTCTTAAACTGTTCCTCAGATGCTACCTGGTGCTGGTTCTGGTGCTTTCCTCCTAACTTTGAGGATCTGAAAGCTCAGCATTGCTTGAAGTCAACAACAGGCTAACATCCTTTTGGATCAAATCTGGAACAGGGAAAATGTACTGTGCTGCAGTAATGAATTCTGTTATTAATGCTCTAGGGATATTCTCATTTGATTAGGTAGAGTACAAAGACTGTATTCAGTATTACTGTAATCACCTCTACTGAATAGTTTAGAGACTCATTCATTATGCACAATTTCAGTCTAGAATAAAATACAGAAACGTTATAGTTGCTAAAATATGTTTGGTACATCAAGGCATTAAATTGCTATTTTTTCCTGTGTTGATAGTTTTCTGGTTTGCATCTAGATATTGTAGTGGTAAAGAGAAAACCAGTGCATCTTGGCTATTGAACTTGTTTGGGTTTTAAAATGAACAGGTGCTATTGAAACACAAAATGTATAAATTTAAAAAAAATAATTTGTTAGCATTAAAATCTATTAAGTTTTGCAGGATGACAGTGTAAATTTATGTTAGTTCTTAAAACATAGAAGCTTTTACATTTAGGTTACATTCATATCAAATACCATTGTCTTCATTTCAACAGTTGACTATATATGCTAGTAACGACTGGATTGTCACAATCTAAATATTTAAATATATCTTAAATTACTAGGCAACTAGCTTCTATCAAACAATGGTGTTAGTATATACTGTATATTAAAATTATGTCATTAGAAAAATTTCAGGTGTTTAAATTGACATTTTAATTTGCAATACTTAGATTATAAACATCCAACATCATCTAGATGCCTTCTATATATTAAGATTTTTTAAATTGTTACATTAAACTGTTCATTGAAATAAAAGGTCTAAATCTCTGTAGCCCAGAAGAGAACTGCAGAGAGATACAAATGTCATGTTTGATCTACTGTCCTGTGATGCCTGGGTTGCCGTTCACATACATGCTGTGAATTTTCACTAGAGGTTTCCTGCAGTTTTACCACTGGTGTATTTTCAATAATTGCTAGTGTATTGTGTAGCAAGAAAGAATACTTTATTACCTGTTTAGGACTTAGTTTTGCACAAGGTCTACATGGATGAAATACACATTCATGACATGATCTTTGCCAGATTGATTTTGTAAGCTTTTCTAGTACTTTGTGGAAGTGTGCAAACATAAGATCAGCATGCAGTTTAACGATCGAGTACTGAAAGGTTGAAGGAGAAACTGCTATACTGGTGTTGCTGGCTTTATGTTCATATTTTTACTCATTGTATCAGATGTACATCTGTTTGTCAAAGCAGGACGGCATCTTGGGTGTTGTTGCAACTGATTGCTACATTCAGTAATTAACCTGGAGATAGAGAGAGACATTCCATTTTAGAAGGCTTGTTTCATCTTGATTCCTTTAGCTTTGATGTTTTTCCCTGTTTACAAATATTCTGGCTGAAAAATATTCCCTCATGCTGTATCCTATTTCATTGCCCCATACAGGTCTAAAAAAGACAAAGCTAAAGCAGGAGTAAAACCAGATACTTCTGATCAAGAACCAGAGGGATTGACCCTTTTGGTACCAGACATCCAAAAGACTGCGGAGATAGTTTATGCTGCTACCACCAGTTTGCGCCAAGCAAACCAAGGTAAAATAGAAATACTTTTATAAGTATATAAAGTATATAGTGTTTATTTGTAATGCAGTCATTAACAGATAACTTAAAAATTAGCTTAAAAGCAAGACAGAATACTTCCTTTCTGTCCCCAACCACTGACTGCGTTTTCAAAGGTGGTTGGAACCTTGTGGTAGTCTTAAATGTTTTGATCAGGAAACAGAATAATTCAAGTAAGTTAGAGTAAACCTCACGACTTCCAGCACAGGTACGTAGCACCTTTTTTATTATTGTTTTTCTTGGCAGAAAAAACAACATATGTGACCTTTAAGAGTAAGGCATTTGCTGTTAAAACTAAATCTTATCAATTAGATTAACTGTTGACTAGATGCAAAAACTGTTGACTAGAATGCAGAAAAAAAGTCTAAAACCTAGACTGAACCAGCAGAATTTCAAAGCACCATCTGCTTGTCCAGTAAAGAAAACTGAAGATAAGGTAGCTGAATCAGGGAAGTGGATTTTCTAAAGGCATATATAATCAGCTCCTGATTTTGGAGAGTCCAAGAATTCATGTGGAAATAGCCATCCACACAAGCAAGCTTCCTGTTTTAAATTAAAAAAAATAAAAGAAACAATAAAAAATATTCATAACAGCAGCAGTCATTAATTATTTCTGAGCTGAGATTATGACCTTTATTTACTTCAAGCTGTTCAAATAATGAAATATACAGTAGTGAGAAAAAGAGATTTGTATATCCCGAATGATGCCCAGTTTTGAGACTTCTCTGCAAAAGAATGTAACCATAAACTGTCATTTCAATTTAAATAATCCCCAAACGCTTGCTGTGCTTGTCTCAGAATTGCATAGGTAACTACAAATAATCATCACATTTTATATAACAGAAAAGAAGATGGCTGAATACTCCAAAAAGGCTGCTGTGAAGCCCAAGCCTTTGTCTGTTTTACGGTCTCTTGAAGAAAAGTATGTGGCTGTCATGAAAAAACTCCAGTTTGGTAGGTTGAGAAGTGTGAATGTTTGTGTTTAGAAAGCAGACACTGAAGAAATACGTGTTCTGTTGGATGGAATTCCTTATTATTTTAAAAGTTAACTATTTTACATGTGTGACCACTAATAACTTTCACATATGGAAAATTAAATAAGTGTGTTTTTCAGGTTACCAACTCATGCATGCGTTGAACTAATAAGAAATATTTTAAGCATATGCTAGAGTAATTCAAGGGACTAGATGAATTTAATGATGGTGTTTGTGTTTTCATTACGGTAATGATTTGTGAGTCTTTCAGTTCTCAAATTACATTGAAGTGTTGCTTGATTTTTTTTTAAAGCTCATATATTGTTCCATATGTATATGTTTATGTAGCTTTTATTTTTTAAATAGAATAGAATCCAAATCAAAAAGTGTTTTTTAAATGGAACTGTGGTAAATTTCATTGTCCTTTCATTGAATGCAGTATGTTGCATTTGGATAATGTGATGGGAATCAGTCCTTACTTTGGCCATAGGGGGAATGTGTTACCCAAAAAAAAAGCACGAAGAACTAATAGTATCTTATCCAAAAAGAGCTATAGAATTCTTTCAAAAATGTGTTCTCTGAGTATTTTTTTAGTTGCAGTGACAGCATTTGCAGTCACCTTACTTTGCTGTTGTATTTGTAAGCAGTTTTCCTCACAAATGTTTTTGGAGTATATGCCAAGAGTAGGAGATAGAGAGGTTTGTAATGGGAGCTTTTCCCTCTGGCAGCCGAGCTGCAGATGTTGCATAGCAAGTGATTCAAGAAAACCAGCTCCACTGTAATTTTTTATGATTCTTTAATAACATTGCAACCAGCACATGAGTAAATACCATTGGCACTTGGCATCACATGAATTCCATTATTAGCATTATTATGTATTCGTGTCATTATATTCCTGATCTGGAGTAGCTGGTAGCTTTCCAAATTGGGAATGGTGTATATGTGAATGGTGTATTGGGAATGGTGTATATGTGCATGTGAAAGCTTGTAAATTTGCTGCAGAAATTATTTCAACCCAGCACTGTTAATGCTTTGTTTTCTGTGATAACTGTTAACTCACAAAATACGTAGTTTTGTACATTAGTGTAATGCAAATTAAACTTTCCTGATTTTAATAGTCAGAATCTTTATCCAAGACTAATTCATTATTAACTTCACTCCTTTCCTGATGCATTAAAATTTTCTTCTAGATACATTTGAAATGGTTTCTGAAGATGATGACGGAAAATTGGTTTTTAAAGTCAATTACCACTACATGTCTCAGGTAAAAAATGCAAGTGATGCCAACAGTGCTGCCAGAGCCCGACGTCTTGCTCAAGAAGCTGTGACTCTTTCAACCTCACTGCCTCTCTCATCCTCATCCAGCGTTTTTGTACGTTGTGATGAGGAGCGGCTTGACATAATGAAGGTAAAGGAGCAAAGTTATTTTTATTCCTCTCTTCAGCTTGGCATATAAATTTTTAAGAAGGTGCTTTAAATCTTAGGAAAAACCAGAAGCATTTCATGTGTACTTTAACTGCTGTCCAAACGTTAACATAAGAAGTAGTATTTGAGTCTGATTTCTCAATAACTTGGCAGGGAGAGTCCATCTGCCTCAGGAGTGTTCTGTCAGCCAAGGAGAATTCCCAGAACAAGGTTCATTCTTCCTCAGCTATTCCAAAGGGAAAACTTTAGTTTTGTTTCTCCATTATGATCAAAGTGTATCTTTGCCTGTGACCATTTAAGTGGTAGGCAGTAGGTATGAAGAAGTACACAGAGTGTCTCTGTATGCAGAGTGTCTCTGGACCTGAGGAAACATTCTGTTAATAGCATCCAATATAGAGAAGAGTTTTAGCTCCTATCTTCCTTTCCATTTGTAATCTGGAAAAAGGAATGTTCGCAAAGGCTTCACTTACCCACAGTATCAAAATGAACAGACTGACAGCCTGTGTATGGTTATGATGTCTAATAATATTTTCTGCTAAGTAGCATGTGGAAATAAAATGCTTCATGTAATTTATCAAATCTCAACTGTGTGACAAATATAAGGATGGAGGGGGTTAAGAGTTGTTTGTTGTTTTTTTTTTTAACAATGGTAGGTTCTCATTACTGGTCCTGCAGACACCCCTTACGCAAATGGTTGCTTTGAATTTGATGTGTATTTCCCACAAGACTATCCTAATTCCCCCCCACTTGTGAATCTGGAAACAACTGGAGGCCACAGCGTGAGATTTAATCCAAACCTCTACAATGATGGCAAGGTAGGTCAACTTGGTTCCTGTGTTAGAGTAAGAAGTCTTAAGGTATGCCAGAGGAGGTTTAGGAGGAATTTCTCCACATTAGGAGGAATTTCACCACAGAAAGAGTGATTAGACATAAGAATGGACTGCCTAGGGAGCTGATGGAGTCACTATCCCTGGAGGTCTTTAAAAAAAGACTGGATGTGACCCTTAGTGCCGTGGTCTGGCTGACATGGTGGTGTTTGTCCATAGGTTGGACTCGATGATCTCAAAGGATCTTTTCCAACCTAATTGATTCTGTGATAGGAAACAAATTTGACTTTTAGAATGAAGTTATACAGAAGTTTGTAAAAAATAAATTAATGTAATGTTAACATTCTGTGGTGTCCAAGCAGAACAGTTTTGTCATAACATTTGTGATATTAATAACATCACCTTTTCAGGTGTGTTTAAGCATACTGAACACGTGGCATGGGAGGCCAGAAGAGAAATGGAATCCCCAAACGTCAAGTTTTTTGCAGGTGAGCAATTTCTTCATTCTCTTCAGGATGTCATCTAGGAGTAGTAAGTGGTCTGTTGGTCCTAAGGATTCTTTTTGTAGCATTTTTAAAGCAGAATTTTCTTCTTCAAATAAGCATAAATAGGACAAAAGTCCAGAAAACGCCATTGGAACACTAGAAAAGAAACACTGTAGAGTAGAGAAGTTCTTCAAAGTGCTCTTTGAAACCAGTATTTCTTATTGGTCTTGTCTTGAAGAGCAACTGTTCACGTACGCAGATCGTTCCTGCACCAGTTCTGCTCAGATGCTTTGAAGTGCTTTATTTTTTAAAATTAAAAAAAGAAAAAAAATTGAAAAGAGAATTCCTCCTGGAATTATCACAAGTTTTTTATGATAAAGACAAAAGGAACTCCACATTGTGAGAGATGAGAAAGTGTAGTACACTAGTGCACACTGTAACTGTGCTCCTCCAAAGTCTACAAGAGGAATAAAGGTGCAGGGAGTTACAGTGTAGCTATACTGTGTTCAATAACAATTAGTGTTACATTAGAGCAGAATTTATTGGGACATACGGTCCTTATAAATACCATTATAAGGACATGGAGTCCTTATAATTTTCAGCTTTATTTCATAGAAATGCACTGACTCATAAGCACAGGCACTAAATAAAAGTAAAGCTTCTTTCTTATGGCAGTTTCTGAATTTATTCCTTCTTTGAAGTAATTACATAGCACAAGGTACATTTTCTGTTCCAAATCCTAGAAGCCTGTACAGTTTCTGTTTCAGTATAATAGAATTACTGCCTTCAGCAGAACAGATTTCAGCTTGTTCCGGATTTGGCTGTGGAGAAATGATTGATCAGTCTCCTAAAAATTCTAGAATGATCTGTTCCAGTGTGTGGAAGTCAAGCAAGAGAGGGGGAAGGCCAGCATGGGTAAAAAAGAACTCCTGCCTAAGCTCAACTGCAATAAGAAAGTACACAGAAGGCAGAAAGAGAGGATGGGCTACTTGTGAGAAATAAAAGGACATTACTCAAACATTCAGCAGAGAAATTAGGAAAACTGAAGCTCAGCTGGGCTCTAAAATGGTGAGGGATATAAAGGGGAACAAGAAGAGCTTTTTGTAAGTATACTGGCAGCAAAAGAACAAATTTTCCTTAGGCTTTCCTACTGCTCAGTGGGGCATAGAAAAGGCAGAGGTCATCTTTGCCTCACTCTTAGGGGTAAGGTTTGCTTTCCCATGTCTCTGAGCCCTGACTAGGAAGGTTTTTGAGAATGAGGAATTACAGCAGAGGAAACAATATTCAAGCTGCTTGGACCCACATGTTCTCGGAAGCAAACCCAGTGCATCCAGGTTAGCTGAGGGAGCCAGCTGATATCGCTGCAGAGCCATCGGCTCTCATCTCTGACAGTCAGAACAGTCAAAGGAGCTTCCTGGCAAATCTCACACTCAGTTTCAAGATCACCAAGAGAGAGGATCTGGGGAGCTGTAAGCTTGTCAGCAAGACTTTGTGGTCCTTGGGAAGATTATGGAACAAATAATCCTGGAAGCTATTTTCAAGTACATGAAAACAAGAGAACAGGCAGTGTGGGTTTACTGGGCAGAACAGATCTTACCCTTGCCTTCTAAAGTGAGGTGCCTGGCTTTGCACAAAGGGACAGCAGTGGATGTAGCTCACTTGGACTTCAGCAAGATACAGTCTCCCTTAGCACCTTGTAGGCAAACTGATATGTATTATAAGAGTTTGGAAAAGTGGCTGGACCAGTGGCAGAGATGTTACTGCTGTCTTCAATACCTGAATGGGGAAGGGATAGAGAAGATGGAACCAGGCACCTCTTCTAGATGCAAAGCACTAGGACAAGTACCAGTTGACACAAGATGGGACATGGGAAATTTTGATGAAATGTTAAGAAAAACTTTTTCACCATGGGAGTGACAAACATTGTGATAGGTATCCAAGACTTCCTTACATACTGCAAGTCTCCCAAGATGAAATTTTTAATGAAGAGATGAACTGCAATTTTGGACTTAAACTGTAAAATCATTGTAGAAAGGTGGGAGTATTAGAAAGTCTTATTTTCATTAGAGTCCTTTTTTTTTAGATTAAAGTGTTAGATTTGATTGTTAGAAATCACATGCACCATCTGAGTTTAAAATTCAAAAGTTTTTTTCGAGATTCATTTTGAAAATAGTATGAAAACTGTTGGAAAAAGTCCCATCCCCACCATACCGGGAGAAAAACACTTTAAGCTATTAATTGGAAAACAGCTGTAGGACTAAATAAATTGCTTGGAAAGAATTAAGCACTGCATGTTTTTTCTGACTCAGAGATTAAACTATTGTCAGACCACCCAAAATACTTACAAAATTAACTTTTATAACCCAGTGAAACTGGAGGATCGGTGTAGAGTTTCTCATTCATTACAGTTATTATTCAAGGTATCAACTGCTTATTTGGGCCCAGAAAGTACAATGCTGCAGTGTCAAATTTCTCTACCATAGCCACTTAAAACAATTATATAGATCTAAAATACAAAATTTTTAAAAAGCGAACCCAGCTACTTCCTGAAACACATAAAGGCCACAGATCACCAAAACACCTTTGGTACCCGAAGCCTCGGCCCTGGAGTACTCTAGCTTGGCTTAGCACTTTTGCATTAATGTTCTGCCTTTTTTGGTTTGCTTGCTGGAACCTGATTTGTGAGGCACATTCTGTAAGGTTTGACAGTTAATAGCCATGGCTGCTTCTGGGTGGGTACAGGAGACTGTGATGGTGCACACAGTATCATGTACTAGTACCTGCCTGAGGAACAGAAAAACTTGTTTAATTTTCCTTCTCAGCTCACTGAGGGATGCTACTTCATTTTTCCCACTGCACAGCTATGTGCCCAGTCCATCAGATTGCCCTAGATTGTCCTTCTCTGCTATAATTAAAGCACAGCCACTACCCAACTACAAACTAGCAAGGTGCAGTGGCACCTAAAGGAGTGAAGGTGTATTCCCGTGAGATGGTGGTGGGACTGAGGTTAACCTGGGTCATTCAGCTGATTCTTGGACTGTTGCTTTGATACAAGTTATTGATTTAGCATTGTGTCTATGGAGTGAGTACACATCGCAGAGAGCTGGAACACTTGTGTGCTGGCTTTGCAATAAGAGAAGCTCTGGGAGAATGCCACACATAAGCACAGAGCAGAACTACCTAGTTGTCAGGGCACTGCCTCGTGAAGGAACCCAAGTTTTGAATTGCCACTGGCATGGTATCTATCTGATGTAAGATGTACATTCTGCATCTGCCAAGGAAAAGGACTTTTGTCTTTCATATCCAAATTTACAAACTGGGCTGCTTAATTAGGGAATATCGTCAAGCTTTAAATTGTATCTAGGCTGGGGGGATGGTCAGTTCCAGAAACAGCTGCCCTGACATGGGTATCTTGCACCGAAGTATGCCCAGTGCTGGAAATGCCATTCCTAGGTCTGTAACATATCATCAGCTTTTCAATTATTGAGTGTTCAAATCCCCGTTTTTGAATTCTTTACAGTTTTGGAACTAAGTTTGTGTGCAGAATTGTAATCCCTGAAATTGTTGCTGGACTTGGTTCTAAGTATATAAGAAAAATCTATTCTTCATTTCATAAAAAAGTTAGTTGACAGGGATGAATGTTTTAATACTGGAAAAATTAGCAAGCCATCAAATCATTAATATGCAGTACCTATACATTTGGATTCCTAAGTGCCCTATGTATCTATTTAATTATTTGTTTTATATTAGGGATATCTGAGTGTATAGTTAAATGCCTTGTATTTATGTAAACATCTATTCCCACATGTGCTGCATCGTAGAATCGGAGGAGGGAAAACTGTTGTTTCCTAATCACTGAATAGTTGGTGCTTTGTTGATATAGTACTGAAAACATTTTTTTTTCCTATTTAAAGAGGAATACTGAGATTTTCTTCTAATGGCATATGACACAGTGTTTTTTGTAAAATATGAAATGAAAGGACTAAGAACATTAATTTGAAAGAAAAAATGGGAGAATATGTAGATCAATTTCAGTGGTTCACCTGGCATTTCACCTCCCTCGTTCCTTTTCCATCTAGTTCTGATTTAGAAGAATTAGCAAGCTCAGCCACAGGAAAAAAAAAATCAAAATTGTTGACTGAGAACTTGACAAATACACTTTCTTTCAGAAAAGGGTACAATCACACATTTCTTCCTGTAAATACTGCCTTGTGTTCATATTTGTATCTTTGTGTTTGTTTGGTTTTGGGGTTTTTTTGAACTGACATTTGTCATTTAATTAGTGTTTGAGCCAAATACATAGTCACAGGACTTGGTGTTTTTGTATTTGTAGTGCTGGTTTCAGTTTGAAAGCTTGGACGTAGCCTGTGTTACAAATGAAAGTACTTTGCAATAGAAGTGGGTTTGCACTCACATAAAGTGACCAGAATTATGCATATTTGTAAAAATATTTGGGTAGCACAATTTTAATATTTAGTTTCTTCTCTTAACAGGTGTTAGTGTCTGTCCAATCCCTAATACTGGTAGCAGAACCATATTTTAATGAACCAGGTTATGAACGATCAAGAGGTACTCCAAGTGGTACCCAGAGCTCCAGAGAATATGATGGAAATATACGACAGGCAACAGTCAAGTGGGCAATGCTGGAACAAATGAGAAATCCATCACCATGTTTTAAGGAGGTAGGTTTTGTGAAACACAGTAAATATTTCTCTTGTTTGAGCATTAAGAATAATGCAAATATTTGGAAACATCATGCATGAGATGTCAGTTTTTAGCCTGGGGAAACTGACTCAAGAGACTGAAGTGAATAAGGATGCACCTGACTTCACAGATTCTTTTCTGGGAAATGGGAATGCACACAAGTTGGGACTGACCTGAACAGAGGCTTGGTGCAGTTTGGTAGAACATGGTTCATTCAGCTCAGCTCATTCTTAATGCCGAGTGGTACCCTCTACCTTGCCTGTAAATACTGTTGATCAGGCCTACAAATGAGCATTAGTCTGCTCATTAGTCTGCATAACTAACAGGAAGTATTTTTCCAAGAAACATGAATTTGAAGTAAGTACTAGGAAACACTTCAGATATACCAAGACACTCAGTAAGTAGAAGACTATGATAAAGATAATATTGTGACACATAATCGAATAACCTCTGCTAAGAGGTCCTTTACTTCTAGCTAATGTAACGATACAACTTTGGCAAAAGGAGTTCTCAAAGTACAATGAGATTAAATTAATTGCAGATATAAGAAAGCAGTGGGCTCCCTGACAGTAATGCTCCGTGTTTCTTCTCACATATACAGAAATGAAGGATATGCAGTATTACAGCATTTGGTAACTGAATCCCAGGTTACTGCTACTGCAGCTTCCTTCAAAAGAGTCTCAGCAATATTGTGCTTACTCTGCAGCTCAGCTTTTTCACTTGCTGGTATAAAAAAGGCAGCTTTTGGAAGAATGCTGGATTCCATCTGCGGCCCCATCCAAATGAAAACACATCTCTCAGATTATCTGAGTACTTCCCCGGGAGACTTGCTTGTTGTTAAGACCTCTAGGTTTTTTGTAGGGTTATCTTAGGAACCTTAACAGTGATGATCAATTCAGTAATATAAATGCAAAGGCATCCTGAAAACTGAAGTCTTTAAGAACATACATCCTGAGATCTGTTGTCTTCAAAAATCTGAGCTGTCTTCTCTTTACTGTCTTAAATGACAGGTAGGCTCAGGAGATCTAAACTGCCAGTCTTTGGGAGTTCTTCCAAGCTCCTTTATGGATTTAAGGAATGCATCCAGAATTGAAGTCACACTTTCAATATGCAGTTTCTCTTTAGACAGATAGCTATATTCTCTAACCTCCGGAGGAAAAGATGATTTTGCCAATTAAGTTGCAATATTGCCAAGAACTCTCTGTGCTCAATAAAATTTGTTTGATTTTGTTGTTTCTTTCACCATTCACAGTTTTAGAAAAATGTTTAGGATAAAGGCAACACTAAGCAAAGTTTCACAACTTTGTGTGAGGGTTGATTGGTTGGGTTTTCTAAACTCTGATGCCTGCTCGGCTGGTGCTAAGAAAAAATCCAGGAGCCGTTAATTAGGGTGAGATAAGGAAAGGGTTTAATCGTGCCAAGGCAATTGATGGTATACGGCGCGCTCGCAGGCTGTGCCTGAGGTGTTACGTTTATAACAATATCTGGCCAATCCCAAGTGTGTCCACCCCGTAACTTTTGCTCTGGTCCACCCCTGGTCCACCTCTTAGAAATTGGGTCTGGGGTGCATTTTGGGACCCTCTCTTCATCAACCTTCATCATCTTCGGGGTACAGAGAGCAGAGTCACCCAGTTCTTTGACTCCGTCCTGCGGTTTAGGCCAAGACACAAGCGTTCCCCAAACAGAACAGACTTACCTTGACAAGAGACTAAACATCTTCTACTGGATACGAGGATAGGGCTGATATGGGGAGTACGGAATGGGGTAAGAGGGTTGAACTAAGGGGTGCTACGGGAAGAGGGATAAAGGGGCTGCTTCTAAGATCTACTTCTATTACCTATAAAACTTATAAGGTAGAAAAATAAAAAACCATTAGGGGCTTAAGGCATCAACTCAAATGTGTACTTAAATACCAAAATTACTCTGCAATCAAATACTTGCTCCTACCGAAACTGTGGAAAGCTCAACTACTATTGCCTGGGAATTCTGTTGTCCCCAGAGGTGCTGCCTCTGCCTAGGGCATGTAACTGTGATTGCATCTCTTCCGTAGCAGCTGTTATGATCCCTTTTCTCTCTGCAGAAACATGTTATGTTCCCATGCTCTTACTGTTGACAGCATTTCTGCATATCTGTTTTCTGTTCGGGCAGCCAGTGATTAGGGACAGGGGAAGACCTGTGCTTCTCTAGTAAAATAGGGTGGTGAAGGAAGCAATAAAAGCCTTAACACTGTATCTGTGTAACTGCCTCTGTGCAAACTTAAACGTCCATACATTGTGCCTGTGTAGTAAGTTCATCCTTGAACTGAAGAATGTGTGTAGCAATCTGCTATCACTTTTTCTTTTGCTTATTGTATTCCTGGTACTCATTTACCCTACACCCAGATAACACAAGCAACTGCTGAAATGGCAGGCTGCACACAAATCATAGGTTCACACAGACTGGAAGAGACATCCTGGCCAATGAACTCCTCAAAACAGCATCAACTGAATTCAGACCAGGTTCTTCAGGGCTTTTTCCAGTTGGGTCTTGGAAACCTACAAGGACAGAAATTCCACAATTTATCTCCAGCCTGGTTCAATGCTGAATTATCCTTATACTGATTTTCTTTTTCCTTATATTTAGTTAGACCCATAGATGTCTTGCAGATTTGGTATTTGTTTAAGTATATGGTTCTTCCATCCATTTTATATTGGGAATGTTTTCTTGCAGGTCATCCACAAACACTTTTACTTGAAAAGAGTGGAGATCATGGCTCAGTGTGAGGAGTGGATAGCAGACATACAGCAGTACAGCAGTGACAAACGGGTAGGCAGGACTATGTCCCACCATGCAGCAGCTCTAAAGGTGAGACTTTTATAATTTCATGTCCTTTAATCCAAATAAGACAAAGGGCAATAAAATTGCTCACAGACTGAGTTTTATAATGGTGCTAATAGAAAACCCTGGCAACTTTAAAACCTATAAACAAACCTAAGTTTCCTGGCTGGTAAGAGGTAAAATGTATGTGCACTCCACTTTCTCAGGTTTTTTTCTACAAGTTGGACTTTCATTTAGCACCTGTCCTGCCTGTTTTTCTATGAGTACTTACATAAGATACAGAGGGTTTTTTTTGTTCGCAGTAGGGGTGGGTAGAGGTTAATGATAAAGTTGCATTAGAACCAATTCCTTGCCAGAAGACAAGTTTTTAGAGTAGACAAGCACAGTTACTAAGGTGTGGTCCACTACAGCCACTTTTACCTGTGTTAACTTTAATCAAATTATAACCATTATAAATGCTTTCTGCCTTCCTAGCCAAGTATTATCATTTGTGTATTTTCACAGACAACACACCTATATTTGGGGTTTTTTCTTCCCCTGAGATACAAACCCCAAATTTTTAAAGGCTTCTTTTTTCTATTGCTAGACTTGCATTGTTTCAACATTACTGGTCTTCAAAGTGAAGTTACTGTTTGTTAGTTACTGTGATCAGTATACAAATCTCTGTATATCTGTCTCTGTAACAGATCTCATCATGAACTCTTTATGAATTTGTTTTGACTGTATGACCTACCTAGTCCGAGCCAGTTTCTGCTGCAATCACCAAACACAAATGTGACTCAACCACAAGACAAATAGCGTAGCATTTATACTGATGCACTTGTTGGCTGCAATTCTGTTGACCGCCTTTAATTTGTCCCTAGCAGCACTTGGTAATTATTCTGTCAATAAAAGGAAAGTACCAATCCTTCAGTACGGGGGAGAAGTTGATCCAGTCACTAAAATAATACATTTAAACCTTTTCTACTCACTCTTTTTGTTTGTCTTATGTTGTCTGGCATTGTGAAAAGTATTGTTTTAACTATGGCCTTCCACACTGACTTCTGTTTGTATATTCAGCGTCATACAGCTCAGTTGCGGGAAGAACTTCTAAAACTTCCCTGTCCTGAAGGATTGGATCCAGACACTGACGACTCCACAGAAAAATGCAGTGCCACAACAAGCTCAGAAGAGACCATGTTGCACGAACAGGTTAAACCCAGCAGCAGTAAAGATGTCCCCAGTGATTTCAAGTTATGAGTCGCATTGACATGGACTTTGTAGACACAACGGCTTTGAAGCACAAGCCAAATATGTCAATATTTGTATGTAAGAAGTTAATTATGTAATAGGTAATGAAATTGAAACTATACTATGCCCTTAAGGATATACAGTTTAATTAAAAATGATCTTTTATTTACCTGTACAAGAGTGTAAACTTTTTTGTGCTTTTATTTTTCAATTGTGAGAACCACTGATTGGTATGTTTAAAAAGTTATGTATACAAAAAATGGATAAATCACTGATATATAAGGGAAACTACCTTAGGAAAGAATGTTTACTGAATGTTTATTATTTTTTTTTACTTGTAGAGTGAGGGCGGTTGTAACAAAGAATATATATTGGTCATTCTTACAGCTACTATTTAAAGTCAGAAAATTTTCACTGAATTTGATAGATTTTACGTTTGGCCATATATTCATGCTCATATTTGATTCTAAAGAAAACCTCCTGTATACTTCAATAAACGTTAAATGGACATGATCCCTCTTTTATGATTTACTGGTACATTTTTTAAATAAACTGCCATAAAATACATTCTAGCTGAAGACTTGCACTTGTATGACTGAATTCATTACAGTCAACATACTTAATTTTATGCGTACTAAATCTAAAATGCAGATGAAATAAATGCATATGGTTTTACCTCATGCCAAAATTTGGACTTCTGAATTCATCTTTTTGTTGGCTATTTTATGCAAACTAACAGTATTCTAAATTTCTTAAGGGCTATTCTGGAACAAAGTCTTTACTGTATTGAAATGTCTGACTTTTACATAATCAACTGTACTCTTAATTGCTGACAGGGGCTAGCGACATACCACGCAGGACTCTGATGTTCTGTAGTTCCTACTGTATAGATTATTTCCGGTTTTATACTTGCAGCCACAGATCCCTAACTAAAAAGGGTAACAGATTTGCTTGACTTAATAATCAAGTCTCGCTTTTAACATAACGTGCATTGCTATCACTGTTCTTAATTTTTGAGTAGTCCTTGAAGGACTAAAAAATTAGTACTGGTGTTACCTCAGACTAATGATCTGTTGTATGATAAATACTACAAATCAGGCAAAACCGAAGGGTTTTTGTTTTCTATTTGTTCTTTGTTTATAAGTATCACGCTGGAATTTTTTCACTTTTTGTTTTACAATGTATTATTTCTAATCATTAAAAATGGCACCAACTGAGGTTGTGTTCTTATGCTGATGGTTAACAGTTAGTTCTGATAGTCCTGACCAAAGTGCAATTTTTCTGTTCTGTTGATGTGTTGTGTTAATCCAAGGCCTGTCCTGATTGTACATACCTCTCAAAATACCAACTTAGCTACATCTGTGTAACTTCAGGGGATCCTTAATCAAAAAGCAAAACAAGCAGCTCTGTGCCAGAATTGCTGGTAAATACATGAAACAAAGAGCTTATGCCACATAGTCAAAGTGTTAGAACTTCAGTGTTACAACAGCAGTGCATTTTTATAGACCGGATTTTACTTACTTTCTATTACTGTACAAAGTGACTGTGATACTCCTGTAAAAGCTCCAAAAGCAAAATTACCCACTGACTTCCAATTATATTTAAGTTAGGAGTTTCTATTAAAGCTCTACACTTACTGCCTAAACTGTCTGCCTACAGGAGCGTAGTCTTTTTATAAAATCCTGGCACTCGTACCAAAACCAAATGTATCAAACCTGAAGCTCCTCTTTAAAAGTGAAGAGTTTTTTCTCTACCACTAAAGTGCAACATGGAAACAAAAAGTACTGAACATGCGTTGATTTGAAATGAGTGGCTAACATGATTGTGCCTCCATCTCTGGTATGTATTTATGGTTTCATAGCAATGCTAATGTGAACTCACTGCTGCGTAATTAAGCAAATGTAAACAGCTGCATGGGATATTAAACTCTAATTTGTATCCACATACCAATTATCCATTTTTTGCTCTAACATGAGCTAAAATGGTATTGTACCAAATTATTGCAGAGATTCAATCCTTAATAACTTGCAACTGTGTTACAGTCTACTAAGTAAATTGTGAACTTGGCAACAGATACAAAATACTTATTTTCAGGTTTTTATATACATAAGGTAGCTATGCTACCTTGCAGTAACATCACATTAAATCCAATGAGGTGTGTAGACTCGTCTCTTACCATTTTATCAAACTGAATAGAAACTTGTATAGATAGATCACAGTTTCTAACTATCCATTCAAGTCCTGCGTTTTAACTGTTAAGCTGATTTTGTAGAAAATGTTCTAAAAAATAACAGAAATTATTTTCAGAAGGCCAAAGGGCAGTAAACTGCTAGTTAGATCATTATGGAATTTCACTCTATGTTTTTTGGTGCTGCCTTTGGCCCAAGATTCACTGCTGACACTACAGTTGCTGTGCAGTGTAGTGTGGGACATTACCAGCCATTGGAATTGCTGTAGCCACTCTGCCAGAGGAAGAGCACACCACAGAGTAAGTGAGGAATGTTTCCTGATGCGTCACAGACAACAATGCCAAGCTTTTCTGACTGATTCAACTACACTGTCTTCAGGAGAGGAAACAGCTTGGCCCATCTATGAGACCTTGTGCTCCGTGAGAGCAAACCCCTTATTACACTGATTGCTGCACATAAAGGACTGTTCTGTTCTGCAGTTGTAGGCAGAGTACTCTTTGCATATGGACATGAATGATGGTACCTCTGCAAGACTGGGTGGTTTCCTCTGGAATTTCCTTTGGGTAAAAGATGTGCATAAATGTATGGATTAATACTCCTCTGTAATTCTACCACTCCTATACAGGAAAAAACAAATATGACAATCTAGGAAAAAAAAACAAAAAAGAAATTTGAAACATAAGAAAGCTGTAAAAGACTTCCAAGTTTCACTCCAGTAATTACATGTTAAATGTTTAGGTACTAGCAGAATAAAGTATGTGTGACTATAGAATGACAAGATCTACAGCAGCCTGTTTGGCCTTGTTGGTTGGGCTTTTTTAATGTTTTTCTTCTGTAAATCTTTTACATAAGTTCAAGGTAGATACTGTGGATGTCTGCTAGCCTGGTGAGGAGACTCTTATTGCAGCAGGTAAAATCGTGCTGACACAGGTAAGGCACTGGACTACGGATAAGTTCTAGGGAGCATCAGTGTGGGCCTGCCAGTGCTGTGATTGGATGATGGTCTGTTAAAAAGCAGTAGAACTTCAATTCTTTGCTTTAAAAAGTAAATAAAAAGAAAGCTCCCATACAATACAGGAAACATACTATACTACTTTTGATGGCTCTATCAAATAGGGCATTCTGTTTCTGGCAGGATCACATTGTTAAGAAAACATTACTACAAAATGATCTTTCTTCCCACACAACAATGTAATCCATTACCTTTCTTCCCCAAAATGTTTCTGGGGGTACATAAAGAAATGTTCTGTTATACATCCTGAGGCAAACAACTCGATAACAAACAGCCATATTATTAATTTACCTTGTATACCCATAAATACCTGAACACAAACCCAGCTAACCTACATTTAAGCCAGGACTATACTGTGTTATTCCGATCCCTGTGAAGGATAATTATTTAGCCTTAGGTTTTTAGTTGGAGCTTCTCAGGCATGTCTTCTTCATTTTTTACCTCCATGCTGCCTTTGTATTAGTGTTTTACAAACGTTCTTTTCTTGTTTCCTTCTTTGTTTCTTCAAAAGCCAGCCACCACTATGTGGACTTGCCTCCCTGGAATGGCAACTCTCTATAGAAAACAGAAATTAAAAGCATTTTTCAATGGAAAGGAGACACAGATTTGTATTTATCTTACCATAAGGAACAATTATAGCGTATAGAAGTTATTTCAGATTTATCCTCCCAATTTTTTTTACCATGTATATGCAAAGACACATATGTATTTATATGTATAAATGCCTCCACTCTGGCAGTTATTTGTCTTGAAAAAGTTTTCAAGAGGAAAAATTTTGCCTCTGCTTTTCCATAGATAGTGACAGCATTAGTTGGAACATACAGATGTTTATAACGCAACATGAGCTTTCTGAAATACATTGAACTGAGTGGGGGAAAAAGTAAGCTCCACAATTACTGAAATGAATCACAGGTAAAAATATTTCCTTCTCCAGAGATTTTGTTGTTGCCATTGTTTTATTCTCCTAGACCATGAATGCGGAAAATACAGTATCTACCCATTGAATTACTATAGCAGAGCTCTCAAATAATCTCACCACTGCCTCTATTTATAAAAAAGGCTCAGAGAAAACAATTCCCCAACCACAATGCTCCATCTTGATTGAGAGAGTTCTACATATTGTGACCTGTCATCTCTGCCAGCTGCAATCTCTTCTCTGTGCATCTTGCCTCAGAGCCAAGGTTTTGGCTCTCAAAAAGTAATAACCTGGTCCACTTAGTTCTCCAGGTGTATTAATGCAATATATCCTTTGCATTGAGTGCCTGTAATATCTGTATCATTTAATGATACAACATCACCCTCAAATGCTAGAGTTGGTAACGTTTCTGTAATTCACATAGCAAAATTTTGTATTTAAGGTTGTTTAGTTAAAAGCCCAGAAAGGGAAGAAGCAGATTCCTTATCAGTCAGAGACCATACAGGGCATCTAACAGCCCTGCTTCTGATGGCAAAATAGCTGAGTTCATTTTGGGAACCAATGCAAGCAGAGCCATAGGAAAATGTGGGAATAAGAAAAAGCATGTTATTGCTGCCCTCAAAGACATTTAGGAATGAAGCAACTGTGGCGAGGCATATAATAGAAGTTGTCAAACCTCGAGAGTAATGCCGAAAATTATACTTAAACCAAGTATAAATGTATATTTGCAAAAATAACTAGCAGGCTGATCTACTGAGTTCACTAGAGCAACTAGTCAGACATGGTTTTCCATGAGGAACATGTTTCTCAAACATACCATGTCTCACTGCATTTAAAAACCTGCAGATGCTTTCCTGTTACCACTCTTGGGCTCCATACTTTCAGCTTAACCTCTTACTGCATTTTTTTTTTAAATTTATTTGTCCTGCACCTTCATTTATTGTTCTCTTTCTCACCTACCAGCCCCCATCCAGACATGCACAAAGCCATCAGTAATTCATAAACTCTGTGCATAAAGCTGTATGAGTAGCAAACAACCATATCCCAGTCCCTGATACCAAACATATAAACATATATTAAAAAAATAACCCCCCCAAACAAGAAAATGAAAGCAAACTAAAAATCTCATAAAAAAAGAAATTCAATTTGCCTTTATTAAAGACTACCTCTGTTGCTTCAGTAAGGGTTTTCTTTACCAGGAGAGCAAATGGGAAAAGCAGAACGTGAGGGTTTCTTCCCCCATCTTTTCTATTTTTGTTCAGGTGTTTAAACAAGCATGTGATTTAGAAACAGAATGCCAACAAAAAATGTTTTGCAATCTACTTCTAAGCAGTGGCTTGGATGTCTCCAGAAGTCCTTGAAACTCTTAAGTTTCCAGCCTTGGAAAACCTTTGCCCATACCTAAATTAGCAATAAGCACATCAGTACAAACTTCTAGGACTTCTTCAGTCAAAATTTCTTCATTTATTCCAGAGTTTTCAATAGTAAACTTATTTCTACAACTATTTTAAGCAGCTTGTAAGAAGGTGACAATGAGTCGGATGCTGTACAGCTGTACAGCAGTCTTAGCTGGATTCCAGTGCAGCACAATTCTAAGCCTAGAATATGACAGCAACTCTAAACACTGCACAAGGGATACCAGTGTGGTTAATTCAGGGTGTAACAAGGTCACCATCATTACATATGTACAACCAGCCTAGCCAAGCACCAGCATTCTCGTATTAGGGAATCCAGGGTGCCAGATCCCTGCACACAATGGCTGGGAACAGTCCTGTGGGATGCAAGTCCCTGCCTCCATCCTGGCTGTAGCTACAGTTCAGGCTCTCCTGAAAACCTTGCAAATGTTTGCTGGCAGTGTACTGTGGCAATGATTCAAGAGGAAACGGAGGCGACGTGGGAGATCAAAACCTAATAGCCAACAGCAGGATTGCTTGAAAGGAAATTATGTGGTTGCCAACAGGACCCATCCTCTCAACTACCAAGTTGTCACCGTGCAAGACTCAACTGGATTTTGAGGCGGTTTCAACCAGAGAAACTTGGTGTTATAGATGAAATTCACAGGGGCTGGCCTCCAGCTCAGTAGTAGTCACAAGAGAAATCTTGCGACCATCTG